AGGCCTCCGTGACAAGAAGGAACTCGAGAGAGCCATTGACATGAGCTAACTGCGTCTCCACGATCAAATTTGTTTCCTTATTTGGTTTTGGCTCAGGAGAGGGCTACAACACCCCAGTTTTACTGATAATACCCTTAAATTTATATTTCTGCATTCTTCTGGAAATTCCAGAGTTAGAAATTAAAATCCTTAATTTAAAAAAAATGACAATTGCGTTGCCATGTGAGTGAGAGTGAGACCATATGACTAAGGTCCACGTAGCTCCTGGGTGGTCTAGGAGGGATGAAGATTCTAGGAGGGATGAAGACAATCTATTTAGGGAAAGTGAGCATGGGTGCAGATGAGGGTTCCATGGGTGGGGAGAAGTGGGGGATGGGCTGGGGTGGGGGTGGAACCCACATATCAGATGCAGGTTATTGTCAATCACGGTGAGTTTGTGGATATTTACTTCATTATTAAAAATAACTCATTAAAAAAGCTAACTACAAAAGAGCACGCTGCTCATGGGCCATGCCGGAAGTATCTCAGGAGCCAAGGACCATGATTAATGCAGTTCTAGCCACTGGAGGGCCAATGGAAAACGAACAATAAAAAATGAGTCTGCTTCAAACAATGGGCTGAGGGTTAAGTTCCATCACATGCACAATTTCTCTCACTGTTTTTTTCCTCACTGATCTTTCCCAGGCACCATTTCCATTTCCCTTCTCCATGTCAATAGCAAGTCTCCTCATGCCGGTCATCTTTGCCCCCCGTGGTCTCGAGTGTTAGGGACAGGCTTACCCCTTTGGTGGGCACCAGTCTCATTAGGGCAGAGGAGGTCCGGGCCTGCTTCAGGGAAAGGGAGATGTGTGCACACTGGGAGTAGGGGACACTCCTCAGCAAATGGGCTGGCATTTTACACTGGGGTGGGAAGGGAGACCCTGTCATCAAGGTCACCCTGACACTATTCTCACACTTGGAACTCTCTGCTTTGAGGATGTGGGCATCTTTTATCTGGGCATTGTCTATTCATTGAACAATTGCAATTGCCCACAATTGGGAGGGATGTCTTTGCCATTCTAGGACAAGTGCCAGGCCCTCGAGGATACAGACACACAGGCTAAGGACTCTGTGTGTGCTTGTATAGCAACCCTGCCACCCCCCAGCTTCCCCTGATAGCTCTGGTCATATCACAGGATGAGTATCAACTGTGTAGGGTACTTGTGTAACTGAGAGACAGTGGGGATAAGGTAAAGGTCACAGGGGTGATAAAGGTAAAGGTCATTCTCTGCAGTCAGAATGACCTTGTGTCAAGTCCCAGAGTCCTCACTATAAGGCTTTGACAAGTCGCAAACGTCTTTTTAATTTCACCTTACGGTAAGCCTCAGGTTTCTCATCTGTTGATTGGGATAACAACCCTTAGAAGACTGTGTGAGAATTAAATGAGATAATTCATAACAAACATTTTTTTACTTCTGTCCCATAGTAAATGTCCAGTAAATGGTCTCTATTATAATTATTTTCTTAACAGACTAGGATCTGTAAGTCGTTTATGTCTCCACAGGGCCCAATACCAGCTGACATGTTCATTACCTGTTTTTTGAATGAATGAAGGAATGTATGCCCTTTAAGAATGAGACCCATGTTCCACTACTCTTCAAATACTTCCTTCCTTTGTCGATGGTGTTGGGGATTGAACCCACGGCCTCCTGCATGCTAAGCACACTCTATCACTGAGCAGCACCCCTAGCCCCAAAGACTTCTTTTCTTGTCAACCAAGCAGCTCTGGGCTGGGAAGGCTGTCTCCTGAGCTCTGAGCCCACACCTCTGGCCAGCACTGAACTGGTGCTGAGGGCCTAAGGAAGCAAGAACGCTCCACTCTCCCATATGATCGTTCTCTTGCCAGAAACAAGAGCCCCACTGAACCACAGATTTCTATTGCTCTCCAGGAGCTTCCTGAATGGTCCCAGGATGGTGACGGCTGCAGATGCTCCTTCTTCCTGCGGTTCAGGGGAGGTGGAGCAGCCTCGAGAAGACAGAAAGAAAGTACCCTGGCCAGCACCAGCTGCCAGACAGCAGGGTCCCAGTGACCGAGGACATGGAGAGTCTGCTGTCTAGCTGTATTGCCAGCCTACTGCTTAGTCCCCCCACCCCAACCCTGCCATTACTTCTTTTCAGTAGCAACAGAAACAGGATGCAAGCTTTGAGGACAAAGGAAAGGGAGACAGGAGCGTGGACAAGGCACCCCACACACTCCAGTTCCATCCTCCCGGCAGGCTCTGTGCTGGGAGACCTGACTTTTAAAAGAAAATATTCTATTGACACATAATAATATTTGCACATATTTATGGGGTACACTGTGATGTTTCCGTACATGTACACACTGGGTAATCATCAAATTAGGGCAATTAGCATATTCATCACCTTAAACATTCACTGTGTCTTTGTTGTGAGAACATTCAAAATTCTCTTCCTGCTCTTTAAATTATACAAAGAATTATCATTGATTTGCCTCCTTGTCCCTGTGTCCCCTCCCCAGTAACACAGGCGAACAAGTACTATCTATTGTGGCCCTAGATTGGGGACAGCCCTCCAGACCAGGAGGCAGGATGCTTGAGTTCCAATCTTTTTTTTGTTATTCACTGGCTACGAGATTTAGACAAGCTACTTTTGCTCTTGGAAACTCAGGATCCTCATCTGTAAGTGGGTACCATTACTCACCTCGGAGCCTGGTGTGAGGATTAGCAGCGATATAAATGCATATGCAGTGATCTCAAAAGTGCCATTATGACCAAAGATTATCACTTCACACATTCAGGGGCCAAGGGATGCAAAAGGCCTGGTAGATCCCAGCCCTGGATTCACTCTTGCTAAAAATAAGAAGTTTTCTCATTTCCTTAGCTTGGTCAGCAGAGTGGAGAGACCCTGGCAGATCCCAGAAGTCCAGGTCCCTTGGATTCCACGTACATGGAGCAATTTAAGAGGCAAACAAAACATGAAAAGCTACTTGGAATTAACAATGGGCCAGATGGTAATGCTAGTTTGAAGCAATAAAACATGATAAATAGCTTCCTGCTGCTACTCCTGATCAATTTCAATATTTAATAATTCCAATGCCACCCCACCCCCTCATCTGGCCCCCTCCATGGGATCCTGTGATGACACCCTGCATTCAGCTCACAGAGCAACACTTCTTCACTTTCTGAGGGCGTCAGCAAAAAGTGACGCTGCTCTACTGTCACATGAGCCCACTTGGTCCTCGAAATGATAATTAATCTGCCTACTTCTCCTGCAGGCTGCTCATCTCCCGCCTCTCCTGGTTACCAGGGGAGGTTGCAAGGGGGATGACCTGCAGAGATGCAGGACCCATGACTCTTGGTATGCCCTGACTTTTGCTTTTGAATTAAAGAAATGGGAGCAGCAGAGAACTCTGAGGTCATCTTACTCAAGGACAAATTAGTAGGAAGAAGTGACCCCAAAGGGAAGCCCAGGTGACCAGGTGTTTGAGTTTTATCCAGTAGCCATGCCCCTGAGCCTCAGTTTCCTTCTCTGTGCAATGGACACAATGAGACCTACCTTCAGGAGAACTCTGCCCGGGCCACCCATGTAAAGTAACTGACAGTGTTTGGCATGTGGGAGATGGTCAATGACTGGCACTGGTAGCATCATTACCAAACACGAAGCCAAGCAGAAAATGACTTCTGAGCACCAGAACCCTGAAGGGAGGGCTGCATTGCTGGGGTCTGGAAGTTTCTGGCCCACATGGGTGTAGGTCAGCACCAGCTGCCTGACAGTTCTTTCCTAGGATTCTCTCCATGTGGTGTCTACTAATGAGATCAACTGCTTTGCCTGGTCAGTGATAACCCCCAATGCTTTCCTAGTCACATGAGACCTCAGGGCAACTCCTGAGGGAAGGCATTGTTGGTGCCATTTTACAGACAAGAACTTGAAACTAGGAGGTAAAATGACTTTGTTGGCAGGAGATGGCATGGTCACATCCAATCTGGATCTCTCAACCTTCCTCTGTGCCCCTCTTTCTCAGGGAGGCCAGTGGGTGGAGGAGGGGCATGGTGCCAGGGGGCCGCTAGCTCATGGTGATCTCGGTCACCTGAACTGTGGTTTACTCATCTGTGAAATGAGGCTCATAATGCCTTCTGCACTGGGTCACAGGGACACTTAATGAGGGAATGTGCACGAAAAGACTTTGCAGTTTTGTGATGAGCTGTACAAACATCATGACAGTCATTGAACCTTTTTAGAAGAACACCCTCTATGAAGGGAAAGATCAGAAGCTCGTCCACCGAAAGGTGGATTCTCCTATAGAGTCCTTTACCACATGGCACAGAGGGTCAAGGGCGGATTCTCAGTGTGACATTCAAGGTTTCCCACCACCTCATCCCCACGTCTTCTCTCTTTCCTTTTTGCTCCAAACCATCTGAGCTGGTTGGAGTGGCCTGAGCTCAGTGGCCTCTCCTGTGCTCAGGCTGGAGAACACCCCTGCCAAAGTGTCCATCCCAACCCCGCACCCTGGCTCATCCTGCACAGCCTCTAAGAGGCCTCCCGTGGCCCTCCCTGGATGAGGAGCTTCCTCATAGCCTCTCTGGTCTTCTCTCCATCCCAGCCCACGTCCAATATGCCAGCTTCATTTTCTCATCAGCCTGTCACCTCTGCAGTGAGCTCCTTCCTTGCAGGGACCAACTGCCCTCCATTCCAGTCTCCCCGGGACCTGGCAGCCCATGCTCCCCGAGTGTGTGCCAAGCATCCCTCACACAGCTGGCATGAAGCCTTATGCAAAGGCAAGGAACGCTAATGACAGAACCAGAACGGGTGGGTGGGGGTGCGTGTCACAGCCTTGGTAGCAAACAGCGCCCTGGAACTTAAATTTGGCTCCATTCCTGGAGTGATACCTAGAGGGGATCGGTCATCTTCCTCCTTCCCCCTTAATGAGAAGAGACGGAAGGCGCATGTCCCTCTGTATCTGTGGGCACTCCACAGGGAGGGGGTGAAGGATCATCAGGTACCTGAGTCCCGCTGGTCCAGGGTCATGGAGTTCCACCTCCTCGTGATGTCAATGTACAGAATATCCACTGCAGCCATGGACAAGCTGCTGCTGCTGAGCTTGCAGTTCCTGCCAGAGACGGGAGAGCAGACACGTTATCGTCAGACTGAAACCTACCCGCCCTTGTTTCCTCCAAGCTTGTTGTGGACTGAATATTTATGTCCCCCCCAAGATACACAGGTTGAAGTCCTATCACTCCAGCATGGTGGCATTTGGAAGTGGGACTTTTGGGAGCTGATTAGGTCACAAGGGTGGAGCCTTGTGGATGAGACTAGTGTCCCTGTAAGAAGAGACCTGAGAGAACTTGCTCGCTCTTGCTGCTCTCCACTGGGTGAAGATCTGTGTTTAAGCAACCATTTGTAAGCTGGAAACCGACTCACATCAGACCCCCATCTGCTGGTATCATTAAAAAAATTTACTGGTGAATTATTATTACATAATAGTGGGATTCACTGTGAAACATTTGTACGCGCACATAGTATCATTTGGTCAATTTCATTCTCCAGTACCTTCTTGTCCCCACCTCCTTCCTTCCCTGAGCCCCTTCTTCTAGTACACTGGTCTCCCTTCTATTGTCTTGAGATCCACTTTCATCCCCGTTTTTCTCTCTCTGCTCCACAAGTGAAAGAAAACATGACCCTCGACTTTCTGATTTCATTTAGCATTCTCCAGTTCCATCCATTTTCTTGCAAATGACACATTTTCATTCTTTATGGCTGAGCAAAACTCCACTGTGTATATATTCCACACATTCTTTACCCATTCATCTGTTGATGGACACTGAGGCTGGCTCCCTAAGTTGGCTACTGTGAATTGTGCTGCTATAAACACGGCTAGGCGCATATCGCTGCAGTATGCTGACTTAAGTTCTTTTGCATAAATACTGAGGGGTGGTACGGCTGGATCATATGGTGGTTCCCTGCCTAGTCTTTTGAGGAGCCTCCATACTGATCTCCATAGTGGTTGCGCTAGTTTCCAATCCTGACAGTGTGTAGTTGTCCCTTCATCCCTGCCTCCTCACCAGCATCGATTATTTGTATTCTTGATGACTGCCATTTTAATTGGAGCAAGATGAAATCTCAGTGTGTTTGGATTTGCATTTCCCTGATTGCTAAATATGTGGAACATTTTTTCATATATTCTTGCTGTCTGCCAGCACCCTGACCTTGACTGCTCAGCCTCCAGACTGTGAGAAGTCAATTCTTGTTGTTCACACCATCCAGTCTACGGTTATTTTTTGATGGCTACTCAAACTGACTGAGCTGATGATGTCTTTGCTCAGGGGTGTTCTGTGTCTGGAGCCAGCGACAGAGGGTGGGGGGCAGGGGCAGAGAAGACGGGAATGGAAGCTGGGGCTGGAGGTTGTGGGCTCCTCTAAGTGCAGCCACTGGGTTAGTTGGGGGCTAATGGGCTGGAAAGAGCAAGGACATCAGGATGGCAAGTCTCGAGCGGACTCCAGGCTCTGCCACTGGCAAACATTCGGCCCTGTGTAAACCATTTCAACTCCCTCGCCTTTGAAACGGGCAGGCTTTGTTACAATCACCGTGTCATGCTGACCTTACACGCCACGTAGGCTGCTGCTGCTCTGAAAGGGGAACGGAAGGCCACGTTTCAAAAAATAGCTCTGTGCATGTGTCTCCATCTTCCTATCGATTAGTCCTTGGGCGTGCGTCACTGCCCCCTCCTGCTGGTGTCCAGGCGGCTGCCTGTGTCACGCTCAGATGACCCAGTGATGACAGCACATCCCTGGCACAGGCTGAAGCCATCGCTGTGGTCCAGAAGCAGTTCCCTGCTGGGTCCTCACCCGATGAGTCCCTGAGGCCAAATCTCCAGACAGGGGCTCAACGTTTCTGTACTTGACCCATCTTAATCTGTCCCCAGAAGATTTTACAGAAGCCTTGAATCAGCCACACCAAGCCCCAGATTGATGGAGCAGAGTGGTATAGCCCCTGTGGGGGGCCCACGCAGCACAGACAAAGCCAGACCCCCCTGATGCTCCAGTTGATCCTTGGTTCAGGTTCAGGGAAGCCAAAGTATAACCAGGTTTCTGTCTGATGTCAGCAGTGGTGCTCCCTGCCTCAGCCACAGAACGGGAGTTTATAATCCTCCTTCCTCCAACTTTTCGGGAATCTGGAAATGGGGGGCACAGCTTGGCCTACTGAAAGGAGCACGGCTTGGGCATCAGGCGATCAGGATTTAAATCCTAGCTCTGCTGCCTTTTCTAGCTGCCTAACTGTGGGCAATTTCCCTAACCCTCCCTGGTACCTTCGTTTCCTGGTCTCTAAAGTAAAGATCATAATACCTGTCCACGTGGCTATTAAGGGAGGGAGTGGCTGGCATCAGCAGGCCACAGCACCGTTAGTTGCCTTCTTGATGTCTCTCCCCCTTTTCCTTTTCCTCTCCCAGAGCCAGAACCCCCTGGGCCCGACGGGCCACATGAGGCTGACCTTTCAAGGGGTGACCCTGCCCACTCTGGAGCAATGGAACTTGCAGGTCTAAGAATCTGGGTCAGAGGGCCCTTGTTCTCTGTCCAGACCAGAGGCAGCCCCTGGCTTGACCAGTGCACCACGCTGCTGGACAAGATCATGCCCCGGGAAGGCTGGATTAGCCCAGGATCCTGGGAGCCAAATTCTGGACTCTGGTTGGGTTGGCTGAGCCACAGTCAATGCTGCTTTCAACTTTTCAAATGCATCCCTGTCCGTTGCTCCAGCTAATGATAAAGTGCTCCTCTGAGCTCCCATTTGTCTTCATCCCCGCGTGAACAGCTCCCTTAGGAAGTTACATGGGGGAGATGACTGGCAAGCAGCACTGGGCATCCAGGGGTTGCTCTCCAAACCAACCCCACCTCCAACAGTGGTGGCTGGGAGCATGCCCAGGACAAGTGCCCCGAGGAGGCTTGTGCTCCTATGCACTGGCACCCTCGCTTGCCTGCTTGGTCCCTTCCTCTCTTCCCACATGTCACATTTCCAAGGCCATCAATTCACATCTTGCTTCCTCCCAGGCTCCCACTCCGTATTTCAATCACAAGTCACCACGGCAGACTTCAAAGCACATCAGAGCGCAGTTATTGAGCCCCAGTAACAACATGTCAGTGGACGCGGAGCTTTTCACGTCACCTGTCACCGAGATGGCTATCTCTATTGGGTTCTGCAAGGGCGGAGGTTCCAGTCTCTCCCCGGGTAATATAACAAACTGCTCTGCTAATTTCCAAAGCTTCATTAGGAAAGGGCCACAGGTCGTCCCTAATTATCATATCCATGTCCGCTGGGCTCCTCTCTCTGACGCAGGAACGGAGACTGCCGGGCTTGCTCTGTGGGTTAATGGAGTATAAAAAGGGAAACGAAACTGACCACTGTATATAGTTATTTTTTTCTGACAGGAAGAAAATAGAAGTGTCAAACCTTTAGCAGGAGCCGTAATTTACCAAAGAGAATTCTTCATTTATCCCCTTTCCAAGGTAACTCATCCCCCCTCAGGGATGCCTGCAAACACAGTTGATTGCAACATTGCAGCCAGGACCTCCGAAGGAGGGGTCCAGGCTGGCTGCAGTAGCCAGGGAATGCTGTTAAGAGAATTTGGGTTCTGGAGGTGCAGTCTGTGTGTCAGCCTCTTTCCTGCCTGTGAGCTCTTGGAGTCTTTACACTCATTCTATGAGGCGGGTATTCCTGATCCCATCTCAGTGAAGGTAAGCTGAGGCACAGGAGAAGGGACAGAATCTGCCCAAGATGGTGAGATTTCCTTAGAGGATCTAACAGTAGGTTTGGGTGCTGCGGGGAGGTAGCCCAGGCCAGGGACCAGAGGGCTGGAGTCTCTCCAGTGCACTTCTGCTGGGGAGCTCTGAGACAGAAGGTGGGGGTAGTAGGGAGAAAACAACCAAAGTCCCATAGAGACAGACCCTCTGGTCACTAAAGAATGGACTCAAACAGGGAATGACTTTAAGAGAAAAGATGTCAAGACTTTGGAATGACTTTTCAATCCACCCATTGGCTCAATTACAGAATTTGGGCTTTGCTCCTACCTACAGGTGAGTATTCCGGGCCCAGAGAGCAGGGCAGAGATAGACGGATACCACCATCAGAAGGGAGAGGTGATCTCAGAGTGCAGGCTGAAAACACAAAAGCCAAGAAGCCCCTAATCATGGAGAACAGTTTTCCCTTATGTCCTGGGATGCAGTTCTTTAAATGACTCATGAACAGAAGGAGAAATTCTTCAGTGGAAGAGAAACCCAGGAAAAATGGTTGCAGGAGAAGCCAGAAAAATTCCTGGGAAGGATAGACTAGAAATGAAGTTGGAAAACACGACCTTTGGGGTCAAAGGTCCGTGAGTTTGAATCTTGGCTTTGCTGTGTGACCTTGAGCAAGGAATGGGGGGGAGCCTTCCTTGCAGGTACAGTGAGGAGACTCACCACTTCGGACACTTTTAAGGACTACTCAGGGCCTGGTACACACCAGGAAGTGGCAGTTTGCCTCCCTCCTCTTTGATTAGAACCAGTTTGAAGAAATGATTTATTTTTGTCTGGTTGGGGGTCTGTTTTATTTTTCAGAATCCAAAGAATCTGGGTACATATGATTGGAGAAAATCACAAATCATTCAAGTTCATTAGGACCCAAGCATAGGAAGATTTGAAATGATCATCCCCATTTCCTCTTAACAAGTACTGACATCTCATGGGAAATTTAGGATCCAACTTTTTTTACTCCATAAAATCCTATTTATAGAATTTCTTTTGTGTTCATCTTTCTCTGTGGAAAAAAGAGAAGCTTTTTGTTTGTTTGTTTTCTGGAGAGGTTTCTATAAGGGAAAAGCTAACAAATTGTCAATATTTATTTTAAAAAAGCCAAGACAAAACACATATCTAAACACGGGGGAGGAGAAGGGAATAAGACAACTCTCATTTAAAATGTACGCCTTTTTAAAAGCCATAGCTACCCCAGGCTCAGAATCCCATGGTATTGCTGGAAAGGGGTCATCAGGAAAGGGGAGATTTTCAAGGTCACAGAGGAGTTAATGACAGAGGGAAGCGAGGCCTCTTACATTTCTATTCTAGAACATTCTAATGCACCATGTTGCCTCTCAGAGAATAAAACCCCTTACAGCTACCTATTAGGAAGCATGTTAATGTCTCCTTATGATAAAAGGGAGTAGAAGGGGGAAAAGGAAAGAGAAAAAACCATCCTCTAATTCAAAGGGAGACCCAGGATCAGAAGCCCGCAGGGTGACAGGCGAGATTTCAAAGCTGAACAGCCCCGTGTGAAGCGAAGGCTCCAGGTGCAGGGGGCGCTGCTACATGTCCTAGAAATAAACCCGGTTTGGGCAAACGGTTTGAATCCCCCGGCTGCCTTCACCGGAAAACGCAGCATCTGCAAATTGATGTCAGCTTCCAACGTTTGGAAAAATGTCCTTTGTGAATTACATCGGATGCCTCTCCAAATCAGTGTTCCAATGGAAAGAGGGTCACAAAAAACACATTTCTCTGAAAGAGAGCTGTCAGGTTGAAGAATCAATTAGATAATTTCCATTTCCCAGAGAAAGAGAAGCCTTCACACCCCAGGAATTATTAGTAAGTAAATTTCAGAAAAAAAGTTAGAACAGGAGGCACTAAATTTGTGCTACTATGTGCTACTATTAAGTTCCTCCCAAGGAAATGACATGAAAAGCTGGTTAGACAGACGTAAGTCTAGACAAGGGAATGACGGTTCGTTATTTCTCATTTCTTGGTGAAAAAGAAAAATAGAATATGGCCAGGCTGGCATTAGCATAATTCACTCTGAAAACTGCTGATCTATGCAGCACATTATGAGAGATGGACACTGAAAATAAATTCAGTCGGACTGTTTATTATTTGCTTCCCTGTCTGCAAGCAACTTGGGGAGAAAGAGTGGGTAGCCCAGATGAAAGCCAAGTTCAGCTTCTGCCATTTGTGTGGGAACTATGAAAGGAGCATGCACCTGGCCAGGGAGATGCCTTTTTCAAAGTGCTCCCGAGAAAGGCACGGGTTCGACTTAACATATGGCATAAATACTATTAATTCACAATGAAGCAGAGTTTAAACCAAAGTGGGAAGAAAAGAGAATCGTTGTTAGGGGGAGAAGATGCTTGTTGTTAAGTCTAACCAGCAAGACGGCACCTGCCCAGATAAATCTGAGAGTAGAGATTATCGCCTTTTACCATTGAGCTGCTGCTGGGATTTCTTGGTACATTTTAAAAAGAAAAGTCTCTTATCAGTTTGCGCTATTTTGTCTACTTCTTGCCCCCATCCTTGGTTGTGGCAGACACTAGCTGGCGGGGAGGGGGACTCGTTGCAGGGTCCGTCTGTTCTGGTGGCTCCTGTCCCCACCTGAAGACACTCTGTTTCATTCTCCTGTTCAATGCAGCTCCAACTAATGGCCTTGGCCACAGATTGCAAATGACGGCTGCAGGACCTAATAGTCTCTAACGTCACACAAATGGGTTTCTCGTGCAGATTTTCTTAATTATGGAGAACAAAGGGAAGGAAATCAGAAAGCCTATTACAGAGAGGCAGATTTGTAGTGATATTTTCAACCTCACCCCCATTCCATTCCAAGAGCAGTTTGGTTAGGCCTCTTCTTTGCTTTGGACCAGTCTCAATTCTGTTTTCTCTACAATGCAGTGTACTAACGAAGCAGCCCTCCTAACAGGTCCTCCTTGGCTCTCAGACTGCAAGTTAACTACTGATGGCCTCTATGGGCAGTCATGCCTTAACTGAATCCACAGAGTATTTAAAATTATTTTTTGAATTGCCAACTTTAACCTTTATATATATATATATATTGAGATTTTACATCAAAATTAGTGTGTTCATCTTCCTTTGAAAAACCCAAAGTTCTGGTGACCTGTGGATAATGGCCCTTCCCTTAGGCCTGCACCCAGCTGCCCAGCCCTGCCCTCCCCACCCTTTCACAAGTAGCCCGCTTTTGGCTACTCACTTTGGCTACCCCTGCCGGCAGCTGCGATTCCCAGGGCAAGCTGTTTTTTCTCCCTTCAGTCCTATACTGCAGTAGAATTTTATCAGGATTGAAGAGGATGCTTTCCAGGCCTACTGTGGGTCCCTGCATGCTTCCCCAGGGCCTGAGTACCCTCCTGACAGGGTTAGCCTGGATGATAAGCTTCTGACTTCCACATCTGGGTCACACCTGCAGTCCTTTTTCCAGCTGTTTCTCCTGCCTGCATTGTGTGCATCTCTCCCTCACAGCCCGGAAGACTCCCCTGTAGAGCTGCCCAGACTCTGTCTCCCCTGGGTTCCACCAGGTGGACAAGGATTCCCCTTTCTCACTCCTCACCCTCTGATCACAGCCCCGCCGGGGAGACCGCACACCCTGCCCAGACTCTGTCAAAGGATTGCATTGAGTTATTTACTGGTCATGGGCCTCTATTAGACTGGGATCCTCCGGGACAGGCAGGGTTCTCCGTCTCTCTCTGAATGCCCAGTGGCTTTCAGGTGCTCAAGGAGAGGTAGAGACAGGGTAGATCTTGCAGGGCCAGGGTTTCACACGAAGCCAGGATACTCTTCATTCTTTCTGGCTTTGAACTGGGACTTTTGTGCAATGGGGCAGCAACTAGGGAGGGGCCAGGAAGTTCCTGCCTTGGCTCCAGAAGGGCAGCGGCAGTATCACGCAAGAGAAGAATCCTAGCCCACCCAGCCTCATGGTTTGCCTGGGTCCTGTGTCTTTCCACAGTGCCTCAAAAGGCTAATGACATGTGTCCTTGTCTCTAAGCTGTTTCTCTATGTTCCAGGGCCCAAGAATCATGAAGGAGAGGGACTGTCTACTTCTTTTTCTCTGTAATGGGATAACAGTATGCACAGTTAGAGAAGGTCTATTTACACATTTTACTGGATTCCTATGCAACTGGCCAATAAGATGGACAGTAGAAGTCACTGGATATAATTTCCAGGAAAGATTTTAAAGGGGTCTAATTCATCTGGCAGAGACCTTTGCTCTTTCTCCCTCTTTCTGCCTGGAACTCACTATGATGACTGGACTTTGAGCAGCCATACTGTGACCATAAGGCAACCCTGATAGGTCTCTTTTGGTGAAAATCAAATGCATTTCCTAAATGAGTCAGAGGGCATCATGTTAAGTAGCATTTTTAGGGCAATTAGTTAATGTGCCTTTTTTGAAAATTTCCACAGCTTAAGACAATCCTAATCTCCCATTTAATAAGCAGCTCCCATGAACGAGGCATCGGGCAGGGTGCTCTCTGTATATTACCTCCCAACCTCGTGGCAACTGTGCAAGGCAGGAATGAACATCTCCATTTTGCAGCTGAGGAATTCAGACTCAGAAAACAAGGGATTCGCCCAAAGCCACACAGATATTAAGTCACATGCTCGGTTCAGAAAGTCTGACCCCAGATCCAGGCAGGGTCCTTTGACTTTCCTTCCCCTAACATCTCCCACCTCCCAGATGAACACAAAGTCCTTCTCAAAATCACCCTGAAAACGCTGCTTCAGGTTCCCTCAGTGGCAAAGATCGCTGCCAGTGTCTGTGTTTACCACTCTATGAAGAATATCAGAAAGGGCTACTTAGAATCGTGAGCTTTATCTGGAGAAAAGCTCTGGCAAAAATCGTTTCTGACCCAAGGCTTCTAATTCTTTGCTTTAGTGAATAAACTGTGAAAAGTGTGACTCTGAGGTACAAGCTGGAAATATCAAACCAATGACAAGAGAATGGCAGCTACACTGAGGGTCCTCAGAGACCTTTTTTGAGGTGCATGTGCTATAATTAGTGGCCAATGAGCCATTTCCTGTTGAAGCCAATGCCCGGCTACTGGATAGATCCAGGGTTATATGTTTGGCACACACTTAATGGTGGGAACCTATTTTGCACCTGACTCTGTGCGGGACCCCGTGTGTGTGTGTGTGTGTGTGTGTGTGTGTGTGTGTGTGTGTGTGAATTTACATAAATATACATAAATTTTCATGGAATTCTTTGAACATTGTAGGAAGAAATCAATACTTATTGCTCACTGACCACACACTACTGTGTTTCTGTGCACCCTTAACTAATCCCACTCACACACACAATCTTAGGACATAGGCAACTTCATCCCCATTTTACCGGACATACAGGACAAAGTCCTGGGAGGCTCAGGGAGGGTCGGAACCCCCCCTAGGGTTACACAGGCAAAGTGCTTCTATATTGCCCCAAAGTGCCCCACGGGTTAGAGGCCAATTCATGAGTAATCTTGGGAAAATGAGAGGCAATTTCTCACTTGGCAGGCTGCAATAAGAATACTTCTTTGTTATCATATGTTTTATCTTTAAAATTTATGCAAATTTTGTATTATGCTCTATAATATAACCATGTTATTTTTATACTAGAACAAATGTATTAAATTATTTATTGGCTGAATTATTTAGCTTTTCCCTCCTGAAATTGACACTTTGGAAGGCTGTGCTTTGTTGCTCTGCTGTGGCTTTGTGAATACTGAGCCCACAGACGTGCACCCCGGGGAGAACACCAGATTAAGATGCACAAGGTCTGCCTGACTCCAAGGGGCAATTATTAATATGGTTTTGGTGAGTCCCCCACCCCCCAAGAGTTCATGTGTGGGATGTGTGGTCCTCTGTGTGATGGTGTTGAGGTGGAGGGACCTTTAAGAAGTGGGGCCTAATGGGAGGTTCTTAGGTCATTGGGGGCTGTCATCAAAGGTAGCTCTTGTGGGATCCTGAATTTGTTCTTGGCAGAGTTGTTATAAGAATGAACCTGACCTATGAATTGCTCTCTGGCTTCCTGTCTGCAGGTGATCTCTTTCTCCTGCGTGGACTCCTGTCGCGACACCATCTGCCATTAGGCCCTCACCAGAGATCACACCAATGGGATCACCTGATCTTGGCCTTTTCACCTCTAAAACAAGCTAAATAAACCTCTTTTCTTTATAAAGTTACCCAGTGTCAGGCATTTTGTTTAAGTAATGAAAACCAGGCTAATATAACAGAACACAATTGTTTTTAACCAGGAACCCAAGGTTGTGAATGCTGTCACATAACATTCGTTAATTCATTCAGCAAATAAAAGGTCACTGTGTTCCAGGCTCAGTGCTAGCCAGTAGGTCAATCCAACCTCAAGTGGGGTACTGATCCAGCACCACAGTCTCCCAGGAGCAGTGGGAGAGATTTGACCAGCCAGATGTGAGACTGGACTCCACCCTACTCAAAGCCCAAGAGGAAGCTCATCTCACTGACCTTATGAAGGTACGAAAGCCGGTTGGTCCCAACTTCATTGTCCCCCTGATTCCCAGGAACCGGATAAACAAATTTGCCATCCTGTCCACCAGGCGCAGGTAGTTGAACTGCTTTGCGTACTTGGGGAACACCTGCTTGAGGCAAATGGAGGGCAGGTGGGCTTCAGGACTGGAGTCTGGGGCCAGGTCACTGTCCAGAGAGTCTTCCTTTCCGGCCACTGGTTTTTGGAGCTGCTGATACCTGAAGTACACAAGGAATTCATGATAAATATACAGCTCTCTCCCTGCAAGTTCGCCTTGGCTTTAGACCTACAATGATCTCAGGAAACAAGTATTATCACTATTTTTATTTTGCAGACCAGAAAACTGACCTCTGAGAAGTGACCTGCCCAGGCTCACCTCGCTTGTGTGTACTGGGGTTTGAACCCAGGGCAGAGTCAGGACCAGAGACCTAACACCACCTCCATTCTGCCAGCCTGGTTTCCCAATATGGAAAACCTCCTTTACTGTATTCATACTTCAAGAGAAGGCTCCATTCCGGAGCAGTCTGGGTTTGATTTCAAACTCCTACTTATGGGTGGTAATTGAATAATTAAGAAATATAAAAATCTCATTGAGAGCTGGCAAGAAGCCATAGGCACAGTTCAATGAACAATTTGCAAGGATGCCTGAGTTACCCAATTCTAGGAATAGGAACAATCACATTTTCTGGCTTAACTGTTTTCTTATTTGGAACTCATACAAAAACCGATCATAGCGTCGTGATTCCTTAGTCTGCATGTTTTATTCTGAAATTATTCACATAGTCAAGAAAATTAGCAGCCAATAACTCTCAAACATCCACCTGCAGCTCCGGATGCTCTTCTCACCTCTAGATCCACATTTCATTTCCCCTCACCCCAACTCTGCGTCCACATCTCCTCGGGTGTCACCACCATCTGCAGTCACCCAAGCGGGAACAGTCAAGGTAGATGCACCTCCTCCTCTTCCCCTGCCTCGGTGGCCAGTTCCACCTCTGTGGGCCTGAAGCCAACTCTTGCTCTGCCCTGCCTAGACCTCGTCACCTCCCACCTCCCATCTGGACGGTGGCATCAGGACCCCTACCTCGAGCCCTTCCCATTCCTTACACTGACCTCCATGTGGGCGCCTGCCTTGCTGTGTTTGAAGCACACCTGGGAGGGCTCCTTCCTTGCTAACTCTCTTCAGGATTCCTGAGTCTCTGTTCCTCATTCTAGTGCTCAAAGCCCTTCCTGATGTCTTCTCAGGCCTCCTTGTTCCCAGTTCCCTCCTGGCCAGGCACACTATTCCTTGAACTTGCCCCTCCAGCCTCACCGCCCATTGGCCTGGCCAAGACCATTTCTTCCCTTTATGAAATGGCCTCATGCCCAGCGCTCCACTTCCAAGCAAGCATGCCATCCGTCCCCAGGTCGGGCCATCTTGGTTCCTTTGTACCTGCTTTCCCCAGCTATGGCTGCCTGGCACTTCTCTGGCACACCTTAAAAATCCACCGAAGTGTCTCCCTAACCATGCTGATGCCATCCTTCCCCACCCAGCTCCCAGCCCTTGGGTGATCCCCCACCCTGCCCTGCACTGATTTCCGTGCCTGCCTCTCTATTCTGTGAGCTGATGGAAGGCCTGGGCCACAACTCATTCTTATTTCCGTAAGACCTGGCACATATTGGGTGCTTGGGGGAATGTTTTATTGAATTTGTTGAATGGGGAAAGTTTGCTTTTAACAGCAATGTGAGCCCCAAAGAAAATATCAAAGTTGTGAAGCTTCATAACCTATGAGCCCTTTTAAATGGGAAAGAAGATCAGAAGAGAAACCTTGCTTGATAGCCCAGCCCAGCTGGTCCTCTCCTCATACCGGTCTGAGAAGCCAGCCTCTGGGAAAGAGATCTCCCTCCTGTGAACAGAAAGTCAAGAAGTCCTGTCCACAGTTGCTTCCAGGTGGTCAGAGGACAGAACCAGAGTGGCACGAAGGGAACTCCCCTCAAAGTCCAACAGAGGGGAGGGTCTGGGGGAAACAAACTGCACAGAGGAGGGGCCTGATTCCCTGGGAGGCTAACACGCCCACCAGTGAGAGATTTTCCTCCAGCAAAATGGTTTTGTCATCGTCACCTTGAACTTCAGACAGTAAATAAAAGTCAGGTGGTTACTTTTTGGATGAAATGAAGTGTTTTTTTTTCCCAACAAAGGTAACCGAAAAAAAAAGAAAAAAAAAAAATCACACTCTTACTGTAAATTAGCTCTTAAATTGCTGGGTGAGTGGCAGTCAATGACAGGTAAGCAGTCACTGACAGTGGCAGTCAGTGACGGGAAGATTTGGAAACGTGCGGCTTGAATACACCATGTAACCATGAAAATGGCCCAGAGGACCCAGTTGCAGACTGTCCCAAATTTGTGATCTCGGTTGTCTTCCTGCAACTCTGTGAGTTAGACTGTGGTTGTACTCCTGCTCCAGATGGAGAAACGGAGGCTCAGAAAAGCACCTCTTAGAGCTGTCTGAACCAGGATTATAAATCAGTTCCTCCAATCCAACACACCTTCTATTTTATCACCCCTTTGTTTTAAGCCACATCATGATTTATGTTGCAGGTTACAAAACCTTAAATGATGTTTTTTATTTTCGATGTTAAAGAGCTTTACTTTTTAGATTGTAAAAGTAATTCATGCTTTTTGTAGACATGTTGAGAAATGCATAAAGGAATCAAAATCATTTCTAATCCCACAACTCAGAGATTAACACTATCAATATTTTGATATCTTATCTATATTTATGGATGGGATAACATTATGTGTAAGTTAAATCCTTTTTGCACATTACAAGCACCTTCCCATGGCATTAACATGCTTTCATGAGCATATTTCTCCTGAACATGCAGTATTTTGTATTCAGCCTGGACCAAAATGTAATTAACCATTTGTGCTCAGTTACCGCTCACATGGACTGTTGTTTGATTAAATACAGTCTAGCCATCTGTCCCCCGAGTAATATGCTCTTTCCGAAGCATCACATGTCACAGCTACATTAGCTCTGGAGATCACTCTGGCCAGTGGTATCATTTTGTTGTGTAAAACATAGACAACACAATATCCACTGTTTTAGCCACTTCGAAGTGTCCAATTCAGTGGTGTTTAGTAGATTTACAGTATCGTGTAACCACCATCACTATCCGGTTCCAGGACATTTTCACAATGATGTCATTTTAGAGAAGAACTTTAAACCCAGGTAGACAGGGACACCCGTAGCAGTGGTCATTTAATCAGCACATGGTCCGGGGTGGTGGCTTAGCATGGGCTGCCCTGATGATGGGGACCCCCACCTCCATGCTGAACAGGTTTTTCTGACAGCATGCCAGAGGACGTCCCCTCAGGAGTCCACCTGTGTCCCATCCTGCCCTGGAGCTGTACAGAACGAGTTTGTTTCCTCTTCTACCCTGTGGCATTTCACATTTCTTTCAAGGGTTTCTGCGTCTACTGAGGGATACCAGTCCCCACCCTTCCTGAATCTCAACTAATAACCCCAGGACAAAAAGATGGCCACAGATGTCACGCTCCTGGATTCCAAACCACAATTCACAGGGAAGTGTTTTTATTCAACTGGAAGAATGCACTAAAGACATAGCTGATATATAAGAGGAAATAAAACAATGAGAAATGGTCTCTTTGCTGGAGATAATTGCAATTATCACATTGAGATCCAAGCCATCACAAATACTGAAAATCCTGTTTTTACTTAATAGCATTTTAATGGAAATGTCTGGCTTATGAAATAAAAGTGACTGGTAAAGAAAATATAAATCAAGCTTACTAGTCCTTTGGGATCGTTTTTTAAAAAATTGAATTTGGTATACCCTTGAATCATTAAAATAGGGGAAAGAATCCTGGGATGTTTTATCTGTTATCATTTTTCCAATAAAATGGAATTCTTTTTTTTTCATTAAAACTCTTGTGAAAAACCACCTATCTCTATTTTGCCTGGAAAGCTTACTGTTAAAAATTGCCACCATTTATTGGGATCTACTCTATGTCACACATATTGTGCCGAGTCGTTTACCTCTAGGCTAATTGGCTTCTCATGATGGTCCTATGAGATAGGTGGAAATGATTCCCATTTTGCAGATTAGGAATCCGAGGCCAAACAAGGGTAAATACCTGCCCAAACTCACACGACCAGTCTCGGGCTCAGGATTTGTGGTTGGGACTGTCTGACTCCATGCCCCTCTAAAGGCCCCTCTATCAGTTTACCATATCATTCTTATACTATTTGATTTAAATCAAACCAAATCTTTCTTATGTATGAACCATATGCTTTCCCAGAAATTAACAAAGTCAGGAGGTAGATATGGATATGGTGAGGTCAAATTCTAGCTTCAGAGGGTTTGCTTGAATTCTCTCTTAACAGAAATAATGTCCATCTCCGTGCCATCAGTCATTTACCTAGGCATGAAAATGTTCCCAAGCACTCCCACATCCCCAGGGTCTCTGGGTGAAGTGGACAGAGTCCCTACCATCCAGGAGCATGGGACCAGGCACAGGGGGACGAGCACCTACTCAGAGATGACTTGGTAGAGCCACAACCAGGCAGCCAGCTCTTAGTCTCGTCTTTCAGGGAAATGCAGCTTGGCTTGGCAGTGCTGGGATGAGAATGTGGTAGATTTCGAGGAGTGGCAAGATCCAAATGACCCACTCTCCCACTCTCCTCTGGCATCTGGATTGTGCTCCTGGCAATTCTGTGGCTGGGCAGGACAGCCTGGTGGGCAGTGGTGCCTCGTGGCAGAGAAAGGTAAGCAGGCCCCTTCCCCTGCTATGTGGCCAAGATGTGTCCTTCTGTCACTCGATTTCGAATGTGCATGTTTCTTGTTGGCATTCCTGAAAGAAAATGCTAACCATGCGCCAAAGAAGTCCCTTAAATTAGGCCTGCAGCTAATTTAAAGAGTTGGAGGATGAAGTCACTAAAAATAAACGTAAGTACCATGTAGCCAAGCTCTGTCACTTGATAAATCTCTGCCGCGACAGAGGCTCCATTTGCTTGATGGGTGATGCTTTGCAATTTAAGGAAAAGGTGACAGACTACGAAACAAGAGTCCAGAGTTACCAAAGCAGGGAGAGAAGGACTTGAGAGGAACCGCCGTCTGACAGTCACATCCCTTAAAGCCCCAGACGATGCTGGGTGTGTTCCCACCGGTTCTTCGCGCAGTCGCCCTGCCTGCCCCGGACGCTCATCTGGCCTCACTA